CTCATGTTCGTTTATGCGCGAACCAAGCAGTCGTCCTGTCTGTCTGGTATAATTTCGGGGACAGTTCAGGCATGCTATGCGATAAACTACACCCGACTGCTCACTGGGACTTAATCGATCTTTTATTCTCATGATCCGGCTGCGCATGGTAGCATTTGGACGGTGCGCATTTCCGGCGCCTAGTCCCACAGCAATGCGCTCGGTCGCTTCCGACATATCCTTGATGTATGGCAGCGCGTGTCATATCGTAGAGGTTGGTTCTCGTCGGGTCCTCAGAGGGCGGGCACGCCGGCATCGGTTTATGAAGGCCTTCGGATAGCCATTCCGCATAAATTGGTTGTAGAGATATCGGGCCTCTAGTGCTTTTACCTCCGGATTACTGCAGTGAGTCTGGATGCTTTTGAACAGCATTCTCACGCAGCTTCTTTGTGAGCCACTGGATGGTTACTGCGAAAGTTGAAAAGCTGTGTGTTGTTTGTCGCCATCCTGTAAACCGTGGTTTCGATCTCGCCGTTGGAAGTTCACATGACGAGTACATCAAGGAAGGGTAGCTGCTAATCCTTTTCTTCCTCCCTCGTGAATTGTATATCTGAAAAGATCGAGTTGAGAAGATCAGGAAAATTCTGCAGCATGTTCCTCTTGACAATAACAAAGGTGTCATTAACATAACGGCGCCAAAAGATCGGGAGCTGTTGGGAGAAAGCAATCTTTTCTAGTTCTTGCAGGACCAATTCTGCTATTAAACCGGAGATTGGAGAGTCCATCAGAGTTCCCTTGATCTGTTCATAAGTCGCTCCTGCAAAGGTGAAGAATTTCTTTTGCAAAAATTCGAACAGCCTCATGAGGTGTTCAATCTTGAGCGAACTCTGTGTTTCGTCATACAGTTCCTCAAGCTTCCTGCGCAAGACGTCTAGTGCCAAACCCGGTGGAATGGATGCGAATAATGATGTCACGTAAAAGGAAACCATCATTTCTTCTGACTGAATCCTTCGCCCATGGAGGTCTGCCAGGAATTTGGAAGCTGAGGCACCAGAGTTGTCTTGGAGGAATTTTAGTTTTGAGTACATCCATTTTGTCAAATTATAGGTAAGGCTGCCTTTGAAGGCGACGATCGGCCGCAATGGGAAGTTTGGCTTATGGATCTTTGGCAGACCATAGAAGCGAGTGAGGGCAGTATCTGTTGGTTTCATCAGGCGCCGTTCGTTCTCAGTGAGCACATCCCGGTGCTCGAATTCTCCAAGTAACTTATTCAACTGATTTGATACTGCTTTTGCTTCTGAGGTTTGTGCTGGTCTGTAGAATTCTCTGTCATCAAGCAGAGCTTTGGCTTTCTCGCAGTAGTCTTCTCGATTCATGATTGGCTGGGCACGTAAATCGACCCAAGTTTGATTAAACGCAAGGTTCCCGGTGGGGCCTCTATAGCTCAGTTAGCTAGAACGCTAATCTTACTAACGCCTTCCCCTAGTTGACGTAGGCTCGAATCCCACCGAGGTTGCCGAGCTTTTCACAAATGGGTTCAATGAATTATTGAAATCAGCCAACCCCTCCTAATTATTGAGTTGCTTTTTATTTTTTTAAATATCACTCTGAACTTCATTGCTATATGTAGGCCCAGCATAATAAATTTGGCGGAGATTTACTTATCTTTTATGTTTTCTTGCACATATTTCGCTGCTTGTCCGCGGTAAGGTCTCACCCGGGATCCCGGGGTTAGTGGTGTCTAAGTGGGCTTGAATAACATGGCGTTGCCCAGCATCCCAAGTTATACAAACAAGTCGGTAAAGAAGTTAGGAGGGGAGACCTACCGGACAGTATAGACGTAGAAACAGACCAGATGAAGTGAACTGATGGTAAGGACATCAAGGAGTAGGCAGATTGAGATCGAGATAGTAAGCCGCAAGCATAAACAAGCATGCATAAAAAGTTCAGCAAGGGGCAGCGACCTTCCCCTCCTGATTTTTGCGTCTTGATTGATTATCAGGAGGGCGAAGACAAAAGGCACCGTAGTACTGAGGAGAACGGAGAAGGAGGAATAGGTCACCGAGAGGTGATGGGCCACAGCGTAGATGCGATTAGCGCCCAACACAAAGACGCCTATTAGAGAGTCCACATAGGCTTTCCATGCGGCCACGTGCGAGAGGAAGAAACGGCTCATCAAAGTAGACAGATGACGATTAATCTTCAGGCCGGCGGGTTCAGCCGAACCCAGCCAGGCGAGTAGGCGCGTTAGTTCTGAGGCAAAGAACTAGGGCAGAAGACAGGGAGTGAAAATTTGTAGAGCTAGGTCTAACCTAAATATCTGCGATTCTTCCAGGTGTACTAAAATAGTATATACAGACTAGTTGCAGTATTCGTCCTGCAAGAACTGGAAAGGACCGCTTTAAATCACTACCAACGTGGTGCTGGTACATAGACAGACTATCAGGTTTTCGAGACATGCTTAAAAACGTATCCCCCACATTCAATTTACAGGAGAAAAGAGGATGCCGAGAAATTACCGTACCTTGACGTGCTCGTCGCGCACAGACCTGATGGTAAACTCAATAATACAATGTATAGAGAAGCGGTCAACACAACCCAGGTACTCAACTATCATAGCAGCCCCCAGTGGTGCGCAGACGTGGCTGTGTTAGAGCACTCCTCGAACGAGGAAAAATGAACTGCGGCAAGTCCTAAGGAAGAGTACAAGAACTACGGCATCCCAATGACGAAGTGGTAAAGCAGGGCTGTCCGAAGAATTTCACTAGCCACTGTCTACGTGCGCATTCACAACAGACTAGCGGAACAGACACACTAACGATTGGGGACTCACTATCGTGCATAAAGGATGTTCCCGAGGCAACAGCATGCGTCGCAACGGAGTAAGGCTTGGAAATTGCCCATCCTCCGGCAACCCCCGTGCGTACCAGAATCATGAAGACAAAGGACACAGGTAAACCATCGGGCGCAGTTTATTAAATTCCATGTTGTACTTGTCCTTGCAATTATACAGGCCCAAAATGAAGACGCCTGAGTTCGCTCACACAACCAGGTATTGCGACTTACATCGTCGCCACCACGCTGTGAGACCACTGTGAGGCAGATGGCGCGAACCAGACCCAGTCACGAAAGTAACCCTTCCCTCATTCCCACGATACGACCGCATACATTTTCACAAGTTGTCTTTGATGATAGACTCCTGTTTGAGTTTTAAAGCTCAGAATAACAAATATACCCTTCCCGCGATCGCACCTTCGTCTTCTTCTTAAAAAGAGTCTGCGATGCGAATACTCGCTTCCATTCATGAGAATATAATCCATAGGTGTGTATGGCAAGTGAATCGGCAAGCGTTAACCGAAAAACAGGAAATTGTACAGGGTATTCTCTGTTATATTTCGAAGGGATTATAGTCAACAATGGAAGAAGGTAATATAAGAGAATAAAAGCGTACTACCCAGAGGCTAGCGTAAAACGATTTTCAATTGCCAAACCAGAATTACACTAAAAGAATAGTATGACTATGGACGGCAATAAGACTTAGATAGTGCAAAAGAAAAAAGCTATCTCTGGGCAGTGTATTTTTACAAATGGGAAATAAACAAAACTATATGAGTACTAACAAGATGGACAGAGGCAGGGAGTCCTGTTTGTTTTGTATGGCAATGTATCCCAATTTGTCTTAACGATACTCTAAAACACCAACCAAACGACTTATGTGGGCCTGTCTCATCGCCAGACTCCCCCTCTTCCCCCCGATTTTGGATTGCGCTTCTGGGGCGAACTCATCTCTCCTCATGGGGTTTCGACGTTGGCACAAGACTAATTGGCTTAAGCGGACT